AACCTGTTTTCTCCTTTACTTGTCCTTACTACATACATGTGCTTCTTCTCTTTACTCTTCGCTTTTCTTTCTACTTAACAATTACATTATTAGGACATGACCACATTGTCTTACAAGGGCTAGTTTTGTATCCATTTTTTCTCAGTGAATACATTTATATTACCATCGATATGTAAACCATATAGAGATTTTCAATATGTGGTCTTTGAGGGTTAATGTTTCTTGTATAATTTGAACTCCTTCAAGAGCTGTATCATTTATCTGGGTGGGGTGACCTGATCCTAGCATTAAGGATATTTAAACAGAAGGATTAAAACTTTAAGGTCAGTTACACAATAACAACAGACCTGGGACAACAGGGAAATTAGTGTTACTTATTACTTAGTCTGGTATTTCCTTTTGTATATTTTCACCATGAATTCAATCATATAGCTTTCTTAATTTGTGTTCATCATCTGGGTGTATGTTAAGAATATATCGGGGAATTCTGTTCACTCCTCTTTGGAAAGTTAAGAAAGTAACATTTAAGAATATTTGATTTCTCTTGGTATTTTCTCAGAATCAAAACTTCTGGAAAAGTGCATTTAACATATTCTTACTAGTTGTATTGTTTGTTTTCTGCCTCCCCAATAAGCAGTGAGTTCCATGAGAGTGGGAGCCCTGCTTAATTGTCAAGATTGGTGTCTTAGACACTTGCTGGGAGCCCAAGTCCAGAACATATGCTCAGCAATAGTTATGTCTCTCAATAGAACAAAACCTAGTATGACCATTTCTTAAACTAGATTGTCTCACTATATTTATTCTTACATCAGCTGCCAAAAGTGAAATGGAAATAAATAACCATAGGATTCATATAGGAAAAGGTGAACAATGAACATTGACTAATAAACAATTGTTAACAGATTGTTTAACTTGTAGCTAATTATTTAAAATAACTTACAAAGTATAACTAATTACTCATAAACTATTAAAAACAATTAGCTGTTAAATATTGACATACACAAAGATTTTTCAAAATGCCATTGCATGTACCTTAGGGTTGTCAACAACAAATCTGAACCAAAATTTGGGATAATTCAATATTCACTATGATTTATGATTATCTGTTATACCCAAAAGTTTTTGCATCAGCTGCAAATTGCATTTGATTGGTAGTAGCTATGGAATGGGAGGTTAGAGCCACTGGTATCCTTCAAGGAAATTATTTTGACTGATAACCTCTATTTCCCTGAAATCAGGTGGAAGCAGTTACAAATTTTGTATTTGACTACACAGTGTTGCTGCCACGAAATAAAAATATAACCAAAAAATTAGGAATGCATCCCTAGTTCTTTTATTTATTTATTTACTTATTTTATATAACCAAGTCCATTTAAATGAAAACAAACATTTATAGACAATATTTGGGAATTTGGGAGTCGTTCTTTCCAAACTACTTCCTGCTGGTAAGGGGTGCTGTCATGGGGGATTCTAAGAAGATTCAGAAATCCTGGCTGTAGTCTGTAAGGCTGCTTTGTCCAGCTGTTTTGAATGTAGGATCACCTGGTACTCTGTTTCAGGTGGTCTGGCTTGATCAAACCACATTAGTCTGGAAGGAATCCACATCTTTTCATTTTCTGTGGAAACAAAAATAGAAATCCTTTTCCCCAGTAACTTGTCCTTGAACTTAAGTTTTGGAGTCAAAGCATTGTTTTTATTTAATTTATTATTTTAGATGTAGATCCCAGTTCCCTCTCCCTCCCTCCCTCCCTCTTACCCTCTCTGCCTTCTCACATGCACCCAAACCACCCTAGCCTCCCATCCCCCCACCCCAATTCCATATGTAGGGGAATGCCATCCAGTTGTAGATCTGACAGGTCATGTGAAGTAGACACAAAGAAAGGTCTAGAGAACTTATAAGACTGCCACCAACTAACAATTTGAGCTTCCGTGGAAAGGCTACCATAAATGCCCTTCCCGGATAGTGAGATCAACAACTAAGTTATCCATGGAGCCCTCACCTAATGCCTGTTGGAAACAGGAACAAACACCCATACATAAACACTGAGTCGAACTAGAACCCAGATGCAGATGGAGAGGACAAGACCAGGAGACAGAAACACATAGAGACAGCTTACCTGAACAAGGAGGAGCTAACGGGCCACCAGATTGATAGCTGGGAATCCATCATGAGAATGACTCAGGCCCCCCTGAATATGGGTCTCAGTCAGAAGGACTGAGCAGTCTAAGGGACCTCAGACAGTGGAGCCAGGATGTATCCCTGGTGCACAAAAGGACCTTGGGAACACATCCCCCATGGAGGGATAACTGCCTTAACCTAGAGACAGGAGAGAAGCCCTAGTCCCTACTTCGCATCACTAGTTCTTATGGAATGAAGTCTAAAGGGCAATAAAATAAATCCAATGGCTAAGCAATCCAGAAATAATATTACTGGCACCATCTATTGCTGTACAGGCACCAATAACTCTAATCCTTGTCCTTCAATTCAATTTTGAATGAATGAATTTAGATTGACACATAAATGATAAATACAGAATAAAGAAGTGAGTCTGGTCCTCCCAATATCTGTGTCTGAAATTTACAAGTTTTGTCACTTGGTGAAGATATAAGTCAGAGGAAATAATATGCTATAGACCAAGATGTGAAAGTGTTTGATATTTCTCAGGAGGGAGGGAGAGACAAACAGACAGACAGAGAGAGCGAAAGAGAGAGAGAGAGAGAGAGAGAGAGAGAGAGAGAGAGAGAGAGAGAGAGAGAGAGAGAGAAACACAGACAGGGAGAGACAGAGACTGGGAGAGCGACAAAGAGAGAGAGTTAACTAGGAATGGAATGGGCTTTGGAAACCTCAAATTTTACTCCCAGTGGCCTACCCACTCACACAAACAAAATCATACTTCTTAAAATGAACAAATGAATGAATACGTATGTGGAAATGGTAAAGGAGACTATTGTCCTTGGGCGAGACATAAATAATTTTATATACATGAGAACAAGATTTCTTCCATGTTCAGCCTGCATCACAGAACCACTCTTTTTATTCACAACATGAAAAACCACGTATGGTTTCACAATGAATCCAAAGCAAGAGATCTACATAACATCACAAAATAGTGAAAACATTCTTTACATCTTTGTAAAAATCTAGTCAAAGTTTCAAATGAAAAATTGCCACCCAGTTTCTGAAGAGCTCAAGTATGTGAAGAGGCAGACTGGAGGTCCTGTGGGGAATTAACGAGAGTTGAGGGAACTCATGGAGAACTGTAGTGAACATGTATGGTCTTATCAGAGATACTTTCTTTTTCCATTTTATGTCTTCTTCGTGAGGAAGTATCAGGGAGGTGACTAAAGACTGAGACAAGATGTCCAAACAGCTTTCCAATAAGTTCTCTGATGCTAACGACCCCCAGAAGGAAAACCTCAGCCCATCTTACCCATGGGCCCACCCTTTACTAATTGCTATAAATATTCATTCTGCATGGGTGGCAGCTAATGCTATAGTTTGCCTATGTAAATCCCTCTAAAATTCTTATCTTAGACATTAAATCCCTGCAGTGACAGATCAGTAATATTATAAAAGAGGTACAATGCAATCCTGCTACGGTTTTGATGTAAAGTGTCCTCTATAGGATCATGTATTTGAACACTTTATCCCCAGATGGTGGTGCTATTTTGGGAGGTTGTGGGAACTATAGGAAGTAGAGCCTAGCTGGAGGAGATAAGTCACTACAAGTAGGGCACTGAAGCTGATAGCCCTGCCCAACCCAACCCAGCTTAGTTTCTTCCTAATCTGTCCAGATGTGAGCAAGCAGCCCTGTGCTCCCATGTAGACAGACAATAGCTCTTCCCGCCACTACATTGTCTCCAACTATCCTCAAATTGTGAACTAAAACAAAGTCTTCATCTAGTAAGTTGCTTCCTGTCAAGTTCAGTAATGAAACATGTGTCGAATAGCACACCCTGGTGCTTGTTGCCTGTCCCCTTTCTATCATGCAGAAAAGCACCATCTTGAGCCAAGAGTCAAGTCTTTACCAGATGTTTATTCTGCCTGTGTCTTGATCTTGGACTTTTGGCCTGTATAACCGAGGTTGCCAATATGGCAAAGTGTGGTGGCTTCCATGTGGAGCTACGACATAGAGTTTGTACAGCAATTACCCTCACTTTTGAAAGAAGCTATTTATTTACTACCGGGTTTATGCTGACCCTGAGCATCTGACCCCAGAACTGACTCTATCTGATGGCCAAATTGGAGAGATCGAGCTCACGTTCAGTGACTGATGAAAAGAATTCAAAGGCCCTGCCTATTAAATGGAACTGAGGAAAATCCATAAAAAGCCATGACTCTCCCATCATCAATACTTCTGGATGAAAAGGCTATACTGAAATCACAATATCATTGAGATCCCATCTCACCCAAGCAAGGATGCCTGCCATCAAGGAAAGAAATGACAATAAATGATAGCAAGGACATAAACTAGTGCAGCCACTATGGAAATCAAATGGAGGGCCCTCAAGAAACTATGCATGGAACTGTCATATGCTCCAAACATACCACTCATGGTGCAAGCCTGGGGGATCTAAATTGTTACCAGAGATAGCTCAGGTAGGGGCAGGGAGGAGAATGAGAGGGAAAAAGACAAGTGTCATATCACATTATTGTATGTTCTTTCACATGCAGAACACACATTACACATGTGAGCACATGCACACATGTAAATATGTATGTACATGAAAGCAGAAGGGATGATTTGGGTAAGTGGATCAGTGGGAGGAGGTGCAGGAAGGTTTATGAGCAAAGTATAATAGTGTGTGTATGAAAATCATGGGAAGACCCATTATTTTGTATGCTCACTTTAAAATTCTTAAGAGATCTTACAGTGTTTATAACAACTTATCTAAAAAACAATGCCAGATATTGATCTCAATTAATTCTACCTTTAATAAGATTACACTACTCCTTATAGAACAAGATGTTTTGATAAGTAAATCTAAAAGTCAGTAAATTATTTAGTCATATTTTATTTATCATTATAATTTGACAGTAAATCACTTTTCACAAAGACAATCTAGAAATAAATGGGGGGGGGACCGATTCTTCACAAATGTGGGAAAATTCTCCAGTGTGGACTCTGTATCACCAAGAAAATGCAAATCAAATCTTTATTATAGAAATCAAACAGTATGGAAGTCAAACATTATGCAGCCACTAGAATGGCCAAATGAAAGGGCATCAGGGGCCACTAAAGACTGGAATGGAAAATGGTAAAACTACATTGAGAAACAGCTAGACAGTTTCAGGTAATGACATCACCCAGCCTCTCTATGGCGAAGGTGATCCTTACACCTTACAACAGCCCTACTTATGAGAGCCCCACACAGGAAGGAGCCCAAATCTGTGGTGAATGGACAAGCAAATACCAGTGTGTTCATGGCATCTATGCAGCCACAAAATAAACAGTTGGCATTTACAACATGATGATTCTCAAAACAGACATCATAAATTTCATTCATATAATACGGGAATGCTGGCTGTTTTACCACACTTAATTTTTGTGAGGATCAAATGAGAAAGAAATTGTTAGATGTAAGACACTAATCAATATGGCGATGAGGATTCATTCACTCTGCCCCTTAGTCCCTCCTGGCAGCTTTGTAAGAATCCAGGACTTCAGCCTCTCCAGCTCAGTTCTGTTCATGTCATGGTAAAGATTTGGAAGACTGTGAAACACTGTGTTCACTCCTAGAGCTCTCAGCTTTGAGTTTGTCTCTTCGCCCCAGGCATGAAGAACCAGCTCATCAGCAGTGCCGTGACACTGAAATAGCTCAGGGAGTCTGCTGCGCTCAGCTTGCTGAAGATCCTAAAGAAAGGCAGAGACAGTCAGCTGAGACAACCCATCAGAGAAGACCACTCCCAGTTTGCCACAGCTCCTGCGAGGGAAGGGGAAGAGGGAACGTCCGGAGGTGGCCCAGAGCGAGGAGTGCATGCATGCCAGTGGGCAGACCCCCATGATGGCTGTGTGGGTGTGTGCCCTATGTTTGCACCACTGAGGACTCTTCAGAGACTTCATAAGAAACTGAGTGAAACTCAAAGATAGACTTCTTTGGGGAGAGGAAGAGGGAGATGTACAGATCTGAGACTCAATAGAAGGGAAAGTCACATTCAAATCTCTGTTCAACTTTTGGGAATGGAGATAAAATGCCATTGTGTACAATAGTTGTAAGCCTCAATACTGTGTAAAGTATCAGCTTGATAATTTATTTCTGAGTAGATTCACAATAAGCAAGCCTGACAATAGCTTTCAACATTCTAGTGGAAGGGTTCATGTAATACTAAGCATACCCTTGCTATAACTGTCGTTTTCAAGGGGGGATTGGAAACATAGAGGCCTCCTGGAATCAACATGACTCATCTAGCCATGGATTCCAGGAACATTTAATCTATATTGACTAGTCACCTCATTTTATTCCTTAATTATCAATATTATTTTAGTTTCAACACGTCTTTGTTTCATGTTACATTTGTTTGTTTTTTAAATCTGGAACTTACCTTGTAAACAGCAGACTCTTTATTCAGAAAACTAGAAAGAGCAAATACTCCTGCCACATCTTGGTGTTTTCTATATGCTAAATGTATCGCCATGCAGCCTCCCATAGAAAATCCCCCTGAAGGAAACAACACACATGTTCATCAGACAAAGAAAAATACACATGGTCACATGGTACTTCAGTATAAGGCAGGCCAGTACAAACCTTTCACAAACATTATAAAGACATATGGAGATGTAAAGGAAATAGATCCCTAAAAAGAACATCAGTTTCTGTCCTAGTCACTGTTCTATTGCTCAAGAGACACCGTGACCATGGAAACTCTTATAAAAGAAAACATTTAATTGGAGAGCTGGCTTACAGTTTCAGAGGTTCATGGTGGGCAGGCAGACATGATGCTGGAGAAGGAGTTCTATACTCTGATCCTCAAGTAGAGGTGGGGCAGGGGAGATAGTGCCTGAGCCTAGTGTGGGCATTTGAAATCTTAAATCCCACCCCCAGTGGCACACTTCCTCTAACAAGGCCATGTCTACTCTGACAAGGTCACACCTCCTAATCCTTCTAATCCTTTCAAACAGTTCTGCTCCCTGGTGACTAAGCTTTCAAATATAGGTAGGGACCATTCTTATTCAAACCATCAGTCTTCTTCAGGTCTCAGAGAACAAATCTTGCTGTGAATAAATAATGCAAAGACATCAGTGGTAAAGAGATATATTACAAAAGGAGCCAGACTGAGGAGAGAAATTACATACATCAAGAAAATTGTTCATCATAATTCAAAATACAAGCCATACTGTGAATCTGACTTAGTTAAACTTCCAGTGTCTACTCGAGTTTGAGTTTTACTTATAGGAACCTTCACAGAACACCTACAGTTAATACCATGTTCCTCTCTGTATCACCCCCTGTGTTATGGGCTCCACCAATAGTCATAGTTCTGCTATGCCTGGTGACCTCTGCATTAGGAAGGATGATTAAAAACACTGGTGAGCTAGGTAAAGCATTTTTTGGAATATGATGTTATTTTGTAAACTGACAAGATAAATTAAAATGAACTTACCTATATGAGAAAAAACATTTATTTACTTAAGTGCTCCAAGGTCTGAGATAACTTTGCCAGCCCTTGGTTAAGATGTAGCCCAGGCTGGCTTGAACCTCATAATTCTCCTGTTTCAGTCTATAAGTATACAGTACTGTGCTAGCTGTTAGAAATCAGCAAATGAGAACACATGGAGACTATTTACAGGGATGCTGATGAGAAAACATTTGCCTCACAGATTAGAGATGGCATTCAGGGAAGTGCAGAGAGGCAAGGGATGCCATGTCTGTATGGTGGTCCTAGCCTTTAGCGAGAGTTGGAGGCATCTTGTTTGCATTCTATGAGAAATAATGAAAGCAAACCACACATTTACAGAGTTTAAAATTACACTTGGGTACACAATTCAGACTCCTAATTTTCAGCCTACTGCTTTACTTCACATAATAAAGTACAGCCCTAGTCCTCCTCAGAGACCGTCATGTGAACTTATAAGATTCTCCCTCCATGCATCAAGAAGACTGAGGCCTAAGAAAGCAGGTGGCCTGCTTAAAGGGGTGTCTGTAATTTTAGATGTAGAGTGAAGACTTTTGGGATCCCTGTCACAGAGCTTAATGTCCTTTCTCTCAGCCTTTGATATTTATTCAGAGGATTTCTATCTCTGGGAAAGGCAGCTGCTATTAATTAGGGCATAGGATTCAAATATATAAAAGTGGGTAGCTTGCAAAGTTTAGATTTCTCCTAAAAGGCACAATTTGTAAGTAATAACCATGCATGATAAGAATGGTTGTTATGCCTATAATTTTATTATTCCAGAAGAAATGGCAGGGCTCACCGGAAAGCACTGGAGTCTAGTGGTCTAGTGACTAGACCAGGGTGGATAGGAACCACCTCAAAGGATGACAGACCCATCTCTCTCCATACAAAGACAGTGGAGGAAGGTTCAGGAACAGCCTGACAATGGAGAGGATGCACACTTGAAGACTCTGTGCTTGCCTCTATGTGACCCTTGCCTGGATGGAACAGCCAGTGGGCTACAGCTGTATCTATGCAATGATGCACCCTCAATGAGCACCCTGTGGGCATGTAGAACTTGTTATGGACAAGTAAGCATCCCCAACTGCTGACTGTGTGCATATGCAGAGTGGAGACTCACCATGGTTATTTTCATTCAACTCTGCTGCAGTTGAGCTTTGGGCCTCTTTCTTCTGGAGTCTCTATGCAGTAGGTAACCTTAAGTGGGTCTGAAGTAAAATTCTCAATTTGATTTTCTGAAGATATACCAGTTCTCTAGATGTTGCACACCTCAAGAGGAAGAGACAGTTCTTCTCTCAGTTGTCGTTAACTGTCTGAGTGCTTACAACCTGCTCAGTGTCTCTGTCCCCCTGTGCATGTACTCTTTAGTTAGTTTATCTTTAAATACCCAGTCCAATCCAGTGTCTGGTTCATGAGGGCAATGGAATAGTTGGGTCTGTGTAACTGATGCCACATTGGTGGTATACCTCTATACTATTAGCTCAAAGGAGATGGAGGTAGGAGGATCTGAAGCTCATGGTCAACCTAGGCTACATGAGACCCTGTCTCAGAACCAACCAACCAAAAATGCCTGCTAATTTGCTATTTTAGAAAGTGATATTTTATAAGCCTCTCTTGATATTTTCTAACTTAAAATTTGGTACAAAGATTTTAGAGTGAAAATATGGGAATTTTCCTTCTAGTCTGCCTTTGACATGTTTCAGCTACATGTCTGAATAAATTCATTAAAATCCAAGACTTAATTTCCAGAAAAATTGGAGAGCTCAAGTAGATAGCTTTCTGAACCAACAGTGCATGGTTGGCTGGCTATGGTTGATATTTTGCTTGTAGGAATAAAGCCTGTCTGAAGGTCACAGGATGGAGCTTGCTACTAGCTAACCATAGAAGTCTGGAGGTCTGTACAGTAGACAGGAAGTGATGTAGCTGGGTGGAAACAGGATACAAGCTGGGAGAAACAGGAACTTGTTCTCTTGTCTTCTGAGACACTAGGAGATAAGGTGTGACTGTGGCTTGCTCCTTCTCTCTGATTTCTCAGCATTTTCCTCAATATCTGACTCCAGGTTTTTTAATTAATTTTTAGACCAATCAAGAACTCTATTTACAGTTGGCGATAAAACTTGAATCTTCAAAGGCTTTCAAATTTACATTTACCATAATAAATACACACATCCATTCTTCACTGAGGAGTAAAGATCAACATCTCTTGGAACAGAATTGCCATTTGCCTGCACCCTCATGGGGCAGGGTTGGGAATGCCCACCATTTTGACCTCTTCCTTTGTGCCTTACCCATTTATATAAACTGTAAAGCCAAACAAAATATTATCCCTGAGCTATGCCTCTGAAGAGAGAGAGAGAGAGACAGAGAGAGACAGAGAAAGAGAGACAGGGAGAGCAAGGAAGGGAGTGGGAGATGGAGAGGCAGAGATAAATACCCACATAGGGCAGGGGAAAAAACAGAGAAACAGAGACATAGGAAGATAACACACATACACACACACGGGGGGGGGGGAAGCGAGGGGGTAGGGAGAAGTAGAGAGACACACAGAGATATAGAGATGGGGGAGAGGAAGGGAGGGAGGGGGAGGCAGGGAGGGGGAAGTAACGAGGGAGGAGAGGAGGGAGAGGAGGAATCTGCAAGAAGTGTGAGGCTGAGGAGGAGAAGGAAGGAAGCAGGCCATGTTACTAGCAGGGTGATAATTCAAGCCATAGCAGGAGGTTTAACTGATCCTCCATAGCAAGGCAATAGTCTTTCACAGAAGGAACCATAATAAATCATTCTAGAAACTGTTCCTAGCATTTAATTTCTTGCTGGAATTTATTAAGTGGATCTTTATTAAACATAAAACTCAAAAGCCAGACATTGTGTATGTGGCCACTTCTGCTACTGACACTTTAATAAAGTCTTCAATAAAGAGCATAACGACTTAGCATCCACCAGAGAAGAAAGAGCTCCCTACCTTGAAACAGGGCTAGACACGTAGGGGTGCTTCATAAATAGTCACTGAATAAATGAAGTTAATGTAAACTGAAGCTTGGAAAAGATACTTCTGCAAGGAGGCAAATATATCATCAGGAAATGTCACTTTCTGGCAATTTAATTTGATATGATAATAAAGCTTTAGAAAAAACTATCTGTGGTTGAAGCTGGGAATGGTAGTGTTTCTAAGTTATTGAAGCACTCAGGAGGAGAAGGCAAGAGGACCATTTGGGGTCAACCTGAACAACACAACATCTTACAAAATAAGGAAATTTGGAGTGAATGATTAGTGTGCTCTTCCCTGAGCATTCACAATTTGTCTCCTTAAAAATATTAATCCCAGACCACTAACAAAATCTCATCACATATGTCTGATTTCAAGTGTGCTCATACCATGAATTAGACATTTGGGAACCACAGCTATTTTGGTGAGTAATTCAGCACTAAGCATTATGGGTGAAGTTCAAGCATGGCCATGACTGAAGATGGATCTGTCTTCTATACACACCAGGACTACAGAATGGTTCTTTTCTGAGAAACTCAAGAGCTTGAGTTACATTTTCTCAAACACTGCTCATGGTTACTTCAAGGACAGCTAATGTGATAGAGAAACTAAACCTCAAACTGTATTTAATTGCTAGTAGTCTAAACTTGAATTTAAAGAGCCACAGTCGTTGGTGGCAGCTGTCCTTAGACAACAATGATCATCTGAGTGTACCAGATAAAACAACTTTTTAAAATCCAATCAGCTAAAGGAATTAATTCATAAAAGAAAATCTAAGGCTAAGATAAATATCATCAAAAATAAAATGTAAATGGAACAAACTAATATGCCAAAACACATTTTAAAGTGATTATAAAACCATTAGACAAGGCACATTAAGCACCTTCTACATTTCATTTTTATTATGTAGGAACTCTAGTGACTTTGTATGGCTTCAGTGTCTTTTGAAGAGACTAGCCTGAGACAGGAAAAAAAGAAATGGGAAAGGGGGATGGAGCTGCGGGGGAAGAGATGAGAAGAAAAAAGGAGAGAAAAGAAAAGAAATAAAGATTTGCTAGAGGCACCGAGCTCCTGTTTCTGTCCATCACAACGGAGAACATGTGCATATTGCAATCTTACCAAGATCCCATGTTAGGTCCCTAACCCACTTACAGTCCTGTGAGGTAATCATAGCTCCCGACTTGCTGGCTTTGACAACACTGTCACCCCTAGCATGGGGCATTAAGAAAAGGAACTTTGTATATTTTCCCTCAGAGAAGAAAACTGAACACAATGGACCAGTTATATGAGTCAATCTTTCATCTAGGACTCTAAACTCCAGCCCATAATATACTACTCAGTAAGCAGAAAGAAAATAGTAAATTCATAGTATTAATGGTTATAGTGGACGTTTATAGTTGCTGGTGAAGTATTTAAAGTAGTAAGAGGTAACAATTTAACATATACTTAAGTCTAACAAGCTGAATAAAACATGTTAAAAATAATAAACCTGGGTTTATGAACTCCTTATATAAAATAAAACAGAAACAATCTATTAAAAAAGTCTATACTGGGAAAATTAATGTATTCTATCTCAATGCAAATTCCTGTGGACAAAAACACGAAGTTAGCTATCAAGGGAACATATTGAAAAAAAAAGGGGTAATAAAATCCACCACTATTCCAAATTCCAAATTTCAGTCCCTCTATTTCATTTACATGGTACTCTAGTACTCTTCAAACATGCAAAAAGGTTCCACCGGTCTGGGAATCGACAACTCCCAGTTACCATGCTTAATTCTTTATTCCCTCTCCTATCAAGCTGCCCAGCTACAGCATTTCTACTCTTTTATGCAAGAGTGTTAGCACACTAGTCCCAACCAAGCCTGTGGAGGCCTACTGAGCATTGCTGAAAGAATCCTGAGTTGTTTTTAATTAGTGAAAACACACTGATTTGTAGGATATAGAAAACAGTGCCATCATCCCAAATGTTAGCTCCAGGCAGGGCAGGACCTGAGGGTTCAGAAAATGGTGTTGCTAAGCTGCATCCTGTGAATTTCACATGCCCCCTTTTTACTTTTATCTTAACTTCTATTATAATGTTGATAGATTAACAAATGTCCATTCTGTAAAGTGTTTCCTCTATAGATAAAGGAGATGGAGGAAGCCAGTTCTGAAAGTGTTAGTACCTAGGCCTCTTGAGCAAGTTTTTAAATTTCGTTTTAACAGTTGAACCCATCCATATTGTATCTCATGTGGATTCCTTGTGTGAGACATATTTCCATGGGATTTCAAAACATAAACAAGTTGAGATCTAAATTTAAAATGAACATATACTTACTGAGTACCTTCTATGTGTAGACAGGGAATTTGATGGCTATGTAACCCAGGTTTATGAATGGACCATGACTAACTACCTTAATGGAGTCCTTCATGATAGTGTGTAGGTTGTCCATGTGACGGAAGTGTGGTCCTATAAACACTCACTTCTCCCTACTGACAAATTTGGATCATACACTCATAGTACACAAATTCTGGTGTCAGATTCTATACATCTTAGATCAAAATTGAACCTAAATTATACCAATAGTCTCTCTTAACAAGTTGTCACCACCTAGTGGCCATGAATGGATTCTATCATGGCAGAAAGTTCTTGACTAAATTAAAGGGCTTGGGTTCTAGGTTCTTTCTGTGTCACCCAAAATCTATGAAGTATAGACCCTTCATTTATGTGATGAAAATATTATATCCTAACTTTCTAATTGCAAGGCTCAATGGGACAGCTGTATAAGGAAGAAAAGCTTATGATTTCAACATCTTTCAAACAGAAGACTGATATGAAATGGCTGCTATGAGGCGTGTGTCAACTAACAGGAGAGTGTTACCATCATCTCCAGTGCACACTGATGAGCCAAATGTCAGCTAACGGGAGAGTCACCATCATCTCCAGGCTTTCCCAGCATAAGAGTGCACACTGGATCCTCTCACTCTCCATTTTTATTTCTCTTCTTAAGTAAAACACACAGAAGTCCATGGAGTAAATCTAAGAGGTATGCACTGGCTATGATATGTGCTCATATTTTACACATGGGTATGGCACAATGTGTAGGAAAGCCAGAACACAGTCCAATCCTCACACAGTTAAGTTTCCTCACTGTACTGGGTCTAGCATAGCTTCTACCAGGAACTATCTGATTAACTTTCAGGAAGTAACTGGAAAGTTAATAATTGCATACTTGTATTTCTTCTAAGTGTTATCATAAACTTTATAGATTCATGTGGTGTGTAAAAAATGCAAAAAAACATGTAAATGAACATTGTCTTATATTCTTAATGCAGCCAATGAGGATTCACAAATGTCTCCAGATACCAGTCTTCAACTGACCTACCTGTGTATCAGGTGTGCACCCCTAGCGAAACTCTCCCTAGTTCTTCCTGTCCCTGGTTCTTCCTGTACAACAGAAGCCTGTTAATGCTTTCTATTAAGAGAACAACATGAGTTCTTTGCATAAAGCTTGGAAAATGCATTCTTCATGGCCTGCTCTATAGTCAGCTACACTCTCCTTTGGAACCATCTTATCTCTGCCTTTTCCACATCTCAGAGTCAATGTACTGTGCCATGAGTCTCCTTATCTATTATGTTTGCCTTCCTGCTGTCCTAGTGACCTTTACATGCCATCTCCATGGCATGGCTAGTGTCTTTGTTAAGTGAGTGTTTCATCACATCACCTGTTCTCTGTGTATATTTTGATGACGCTAAGGTGCATGTTAAAATACCACTTCATGAGAAAATGTGATGGGCTCATTGCTTTCTTCCCCAGGCAGGTTTCTCTGTTAATTTACCAAATGTGACACCTGTTTTGCAATCAGCTGGAGGGCTATCTTTCCTAGGAAGAGTTCCTTAACCCTTAAGATCTATTTTTTCTCTCCATACTATCTGTCCCACATAGTCTGATCATTTCTCCAACAATATTTCTTACGTTAGAATGTTTGACTTCAGCTTCTATTCAATTGGAGTTTTTGAGTAATATTAATACTCCAACACTTAAATTTTATGAACAACTTAGGCATAAGAGTCAGTCTAAATACCATTCCAGTATAAGACAGACTTCCTGTGGCAGATCACTTACAGTACCAAAAAAAAAAAAAAAGCCAAGAAAAAGGAAAAGATTACTGAGTTTAACACAATAAAATAACACCAATCAAAATAAGACATAGGGAAAGGATGTATTATCACCTGTACCACATCTGAGGTAGTATTCTTTACCAAGTTCAAAAGTTGTACATATACTCTCTGAGACAAGGTTCCATTTGCACACTTTCTCTCACAGTAAGTCAGAACTTTGGTCATTATACCATAGAAAGAATAAGCAAACCATTTTATACATATCACTTTCCTTTCATTTTCTTTAAACATCAAAGTTTTCCTACTTTGCAACTACTTGCTTTGATAATATAACTTTCAGTTTTTACTATGGCCTCTCTCTCTCTCTCTCTCTCTCTCTCTCTCTCTCTAACACACACGCACACACACACACACACACACACACACACACACAAGTGAATGCATAGATTTCAGCAGTTGGTATATACTCTAACAGACACATTAGAGTAAAGCTAGCAGAAAGATATTTTGCAGTAATTTGTGTTAAAATGATCACTGATGAGTGAAAAGGATAGGCCTTGGTAACTCACTGAACAGTTCAATACTTCTGTGAGCACCAAGGAACTTCATAGCACTAAAATGTACTTCAACCCAGTCTCTAGAAGATTTCTGAGTATAATTTGATGCTATTTAGCACACATTTAATTTACATTCTAATTTCATCATCAAATACAGCTGATTACAAGTTCATACAACCAAAACATTCTGTACCACTGGCATTCTACACATCTTATATTGCATTTGTATGTATTAAATAGAAATTTTGCTACCTAATGTATTTGATGAGTTCAGCCAAAGAAGAATTCAATACATAATCTAGACAAAGCTTTAAATGCCCTTAGGATCAGGGTTCACTGTGCCAAGAATAACACAAGTTCTCAATGTTTTAGTCTTGTGATATTCACTCAAAAGACTTCATGCCCATTAACTGGACAACACATTCTCACCATGTACCTTATTTCAATCAGGGTAAGAATTATATTCATAAGACTCCAGCTACATAAATGAAAAAATAATTTTAATTGCAACAGATAATCTCAATTAAAAATTAAAGTAGAAAATTATTTGCCACATAAAAACTGGCGAATTAGCTAGGTAGGGCATAAAGGTCTGTTCCTATGACCCAGGTGGAAGCAGGAGAATTGGGAGTTGGAGGTCAGTCTTGGCTGTATGGCAATGCCTTGTCTAAAGCAAACAAGGCAAAAGAGAGTTACTATTAAAAATGAAATCAACGCAAGTTTCATGAGCTGTTGTTTATGACGCTAATATTTCTGAAAGCTGCACATGCAGCATATCCAAAACTGTGAATGTGTCAAGCAATATTCACGTACTTGTAAACAATGTTACAAATGTAACTCAGAGAATTTAATTAGACAAAAGTGAAATGCTCCACCAATGTTCTAAAGACCTCACCTATCAATATCCTGTTCTTCTGGATGCCATTTTTTACTTCGTCATCAATCAGCTCAGTAAGCACTTGGCACATCCCATCAATTGACTCAAGGTGTTCTGGGCAGTCATTAGATATTTTAAATCTGTCAAACCACACATTGGAGAGTCCTCCCTTCATAGGAGTATATGGCCTGTTTAAAACAAACAAACAAACAAACAAACAAACAACAACAAAGTGATATTAAAATTTCTAAAGAGTTAATATATTATTTTTGCTGAATTTTGTATTAAAGAATTTGTGTGCAAAATGCCCGATATATACTACAGTAACATTCTTATATTTATTCCATTAACATTTCCTAATGCTGGTTCACCATCTTTAGTTAACTAATTATTACAGTTATTTACTTCAGGGAGGTATGCCATGGGCAATGTGGAGGTCAGACTACAATTGGCAAATGTTGGTTCTCTCTTGAAGGTTCCAGGTGTAGAAAGAACATGGTGCTAAAGTGGTAAGCACCCTTACCCTCTGAGCCATCTCACAGCCCATTAATTACCTATTTTTAGGATGTATGACAATTACATTGCTATGGATATTAGCCCATTTGTGTACATTAATGTTATGCAATGAACTTCCAGTTTTATATACATACTTGTGCACATTCCAAATAGCTATAAACCAATAACAATGTTGTTAATGGTTTCGGGTCTAAGCTCTGTGTCAGCAGAGGTAAATACAAGCAGAATGAAGGCAATTTTGGAGACGCTGTGCTGTGCAGGGGCAGCTCTGCTAAAACATGGAGGAGGAAGGGCTGCCTAGGATAAGGGACAGGAGGTTTGACCAGAGGCGCTGCCCATTCCCTGGCAAGCTCTCATTTTCTTCCTTAATAGCAAAATACATGGTTCTGTTTATATGTGAGACTGCCACAGATGAGCTAGTCAGCAACACAGTCCCATTATGACTGAAAAGCATCTCTACCAATCACAGAGACTCTCCTCATTGCTGGCTACTCATTCCTACCTCTTCTACTTAGTTTCTCAGACTCAGCTACACACTCATTTTCCAAGCCACACAGATAAAACTCAATGTGTAACTTAGAAAAGCAAAAGATGGGGACTGAAGGAGCCAGCTGGCACCTGACCAACTTCATTGTGCTTCTCTTTTGAAACCGTAAGGGAGAGGGTAGCATCACCAATGGCCTCCCCAGTGTCTGCTAGGTGGCTTGTGGTGCTGAGGGACAGGTACATGCCGCCATTTTTCCCTGTGATGGCACTACTGAAAACAAAGGGACATTTGATCTGAGACACACCCATTCTCCCCTGATGATTTGGTACCTGGATTCTAGCCCCTGTGGACAGAGTGACATTAAACATACATATTTGCTGTGGATTATGCTCATTGTTAAATAAAGCTGATTGGACAATAGCTGGGCAGGAGGAGAGTGAGCATGAGAGCCAGACTAAGAGAACTCTGAGAGTCAGAGTCCCCAGTAAACATAGAGGAGCAAGATGAGCATGTTGTACTGAGAAAAGATAGCAATCCAAGTAGCTAAAACACTGATAAGAATTATGGGTTAATTTAAGTGTAAGAGTTAGCTAGTAGCAAGCCTGAGCTATACCTGAACATTTGTAAGTAATGTAAACATCTGTGTGGTGATTTGGGAAGGGGCTGCTGGGTATTTGCGACCGAGTGGCTCCAGGACAGGCAACGCCCATTTACATATATTTGATACAGATGCATGTTTTTAATGTAGTGGGACTATTATTCTAATGGAATTGAGACCAAGAATCATATTGCTGGATTGGAAGGTGCAGTTTTTACCTTAACACATCAGAGCTGCTTCCATAAAAGTGGTAAAAATCCACCTTTCTACCACAAGGAAGACTAACTACCTTTCCCCACAGCATCTTTGGCAGAAACAGTTACTGGTGGAGGTACTGGGTATGAACATGTTCTCACTTGAATGTATCAACTAAGTCATAAAATAAAACTTTATTGGGTTAACAGATAGAATCCTGCTCAGTTTTAACTTCAGGTTTCAAATGCTCTGGACATGGGGACCCCATCTCATGGTCACAGGGACCATTCCTTCCCCAAGACATGTTGTTTCCCCCCCATCCCAGATCCTTTCAGACAATTCAGATGCAGCTCCCTCCACCCACGCCACACTGGGTGTCACCACCAGTGCTGATTAACTTTGCCAATTCTAAGTCATCACAGCATCAACGGGAATGCTGATTGATAACATTCTTCCATCAGGGATTAAAGCTATCCTCATTAATTTAGAAGAACACTTGTATATTACTGACAAAGACTTACCTTCTGTCCTCAAGTGTGGTCTTTTCTAAATGTTCTTTGCATAGTCATGTGTATTTATAGTATCTTTTAAATTGTCTTATAATTTAATTAGAATACCATGACATCATTATATAAAGTATCCCTTTTTACCAGATAAAAGAATTCCACACTTGAAAGCATTTGAAATGTCTTCCTTTAAAAGTTCAGTTTCTGGTTTTCCTGATACAAGTGTTTCTTTTTTTTTTTTTCCCCTTGAATCCCAGGGGGCCTTGCAGAAGACAGTCATATCCAGCAAAGCCTTATCTAAGATAAACTTGGGAAACTTTTTCCTACATGGTATGACTCAAGCTCAGATTCACTTTTTTCTAATATGGACAGGTAGAGAGAGAGAGAGAGAGAGAGAGAGAGAGAGAGAGAGAGAGAGAGAGAGAGAGAGAGGATAATGAGAGAAAGGAGGCACCATTCTTAGACATGTGGAAAGCCCTAATACCGAAGGCTTCACTATATATAGTGAAGGACTGCTTGCTTAATCTGCTAGAAAAGTACTAATCCTGTACCATGCTGGGGAAAATCAAGAACATCATTGCTCAAACAACCTTTGGCACCCTGTACTTCTGCAAAGGTGGACTCCCCTACTGATCTGTGCATTTATTAGTGGGTGTTTCCTCACCCCTCCTCCTACCACTATCATGATAGATGTCATACTACAGTACACATCCATGGTTCTTTATTTAGTAAAGAAGCAAATAATTCTTTCTTTAAAAAAATCTCCTGGGATTTTAATTAATATGCATTACTATCTGAGATTAATGTTGTAAGAGAAAACCTCGGGACGAGGGTAGACTTCTATAGACTGAGCCCTCCAGGTTTCTCTCCCACTGCCTTCTACCCAGGCCCTGAGTTGTGGTGATATTTTGTTTGTGCTTTAACAAATAGAGCTTGCCTGAAGATCAGAGTGCAGAGCTAGCCACTACTTAGCCATAGAAGCCAGGCAGTGGTGGCATACACCTTTAATCCCAGCACTCTGGAGACAAACACAGACAGATCTCTGTGAGTTCAAGGCTACCCTGGGCTATACAAGACTTATTCAGTCTAAAAGAGAAACAGGCAAGTGGTGGTGGCTCACACCTTTAATCCCAGCGCTAGGGAGGTGTAGACAGGAGTGATATGGCTGGACAGAGAGAGGAATATAAGGCGGGAGGAGACAGGAGCTCATTGCATTCAGTCTGAGGATTCCTAGAGACAGCACTGCCCATTCTGTCTGAGTAGAGGTAAGAGTAGTAGCTGGCTGCTCGGCTTCTCTGATCTTTCAGCATTTACCCCTACAACTGACTCCAGGTTTTTATTATTGAGATGAATTAGAATTTGTGCTACACTCAGTAGCTGCAGGGAAGATAAAACCTCACAGCAGCTCAGCTCAGCTCCTCTCTCACCTGACTGCAAAAGCTGCTCTGCTCAGGGTGGACAGCTCAGGTACAATAAGGCAGAAATCATCCAAGCCTTCCTCCTCCCAGAGGCCCTCTCAAGGTTAACCCTGACTCCACTTCAAATGAAGGCAGGTGCTTTTAGAGTCCTTGTCATGCACTGTGAGGTCCCAGGTTCACCAGGATGGCCACTGATGTGGCACCGCCCTCACTCTGAAGCCCCAGTCAGACTGTCACCCCGTGAACCACTTCGGCTCCCCTCTCCGTTTCCCTCTGCTATTTCTCTAACTGTTTATTTGTCTGTCTAAGCACTTAAACAAGGGTGATATCATAGGCTAAAATGTGAATCATTCTGGGAACTCAGCCATTAATGGGAAAAAATGACACTCACTCTATTCATTCCCCTCTGACAATGCCTAATTTAATTAATTAGATAGATATGCCACTGAGATACAGCACAATGTAAACCCAATTTACTCACCAGTAGGGTGTAGGTCTCTCATTTCTCTAAGAAAAATATTAAGATTTTTTTGTTCAAAAGGAATCATTAGGATAATTTAATGGGATGAAAAGACTTCAGAACTATTTTTCTTTTGCTAAGAAAACAATCAAGAGTACATAAATCTCCAAGATGTTAGACTAACCTTTAAATAAAGCATAAAAGATTGTTTTTTAAACAGCTAAAAGGCCCTGGCACATGTGTTATATTCATTCACTTTCTTCCTCAAATAAATCACTTTATTAGCTGGTATAAAAGCAGCTCAGACATTACCACAATAAACAAATATGTTCAGGAAAAAGCATCTGTGTGGCTCCTAAATCAATCAATCAATCGACCCATTACACACTGGTAAAGTATTAGCCCAGAATAAATGTCCAAAGCTTCCTTCCTTCCTTCCTTCTTTCTTTCTTTCTTTCTTTCTTTCTTTCTTTCTTTCTTTCTTTCTTTCTTTATTTCTTTCTTTCTTTCTTTCTTCCTTTCTTAATAAAAAGGCATTCAGCTGAATACCCATTTTTATTTTGGTCTGTACTCCCCTAAAACTGCAGAAACCAAAAGATCATCTGTGGCCTTTCAGATAGAACCTGGCTCCAGTCCTTCTTGGTCCTGGTTTCACAATTTCCCCCAGCATGCTCTAGGGTCGAGTCACTTGAACCAGCTCAGCTGTGACCAAGGAACCCATAGCATCTGGCCTCCCTTTCCCTGAATGCCATTCCTGTCTTTCTATGCTGAGCTCCCCCTGGCTGAGTCTCAAGTCAAATGTCACCTTCTCAAAGGATTCTCTTGCACTCTACAGTGTTGCCTCTTTTCTGCCAGGCAGGCTCTGTCTCATTACCTTGACAGTCTTGAAGGCATTCTTCATTATTTGAAATTGGAATTGTGTGCCTTTCTTGCTCGGCCTGTACATGAATAGTTGACCTCTGGTCTCCACGTGAGCCTGCATGCAGATGCATGTGCACGCCCCTTCTA